GAAAGAGCCATAGAAATATGAATGTGGGTACAGTAATGGAATTTAACTGATACTTCGGGGAAGAAACTAGATTTTCAAAAGACACACAGAGCACCAAACTCCTCCACTTCGGAGGGTGCCCCAAACTGAAATTTCTGGGTATAGAGAGTAGAGGATAATGACATTATATGCTGATCACCAGTGTGCAGGGAGATTGTACTGAAGCACTTGGCTTTTCTGGGAAACAGAACAGTTTACATAAAGCATGAGCCTACAGAGCCATTCTCACGGAGCTGCTGCTGACTGACATGCCCTGCCAGTGATAGTTGTTGATGTTTTCTCTCAGATTGACTTGTAGATGCAATCTCTCTTAGCAGTGAAAGTTCTAAATGTATAAATGTTCAAGGCTTCTGTGTAGCTTTTCTTCTGCTAATATGCTTTAGGTGTTAGACTGATCCTATTATGTTTGGCTTTTATGTTTTTGCTTTTATGTTTGGCTGTTCCAAATAGCAGATTAATCATCAGGACTTCATTGTCTTACAACGCAGGGACAAATTCCTCAGTAGGTCGCAGGCAAGGAGGACTGATGGGTGATGGATCTGTCATCGGTCAGTAATAGACACAACCAACCCCACTCACCGTGTGGGCTGCCTAAGAATCAGTCTCGTGTCTTCCCATTGCATCAGAGGGCCGGACTGGATTCTTTTGTGGCTTTTCTTTCTCTTCTTGATCTCCTCAAACCATGGTGGGAGAATGCTTGACATCACCGTAGCTCCGGTGTGGTTTCACAGATTCTTTGGCCATTTTTGTATTTTTTTGATGTTTCTTCCAAACAGACTGGGAGACTAGGAAACTCGTACCTCTTTTTTTTATTTTACTTGGAAGTAGAATTGGAAGGTTCTGATGTCAAGAATTTTAATATTCCAGAACCTGTGTATGTTCAGTGCATGCAGCTTGTAATTTTTTTACAAAATTTTTACTCTGACTTGTCATTCAGTGATATTTTACCATCTTACTTTACATCACTGATGCTTACTTGAAGAGTAAACCTAAACCTGTCAGCTTTTGTTTTCCCCTGACACGTTAGACATATATTTTTGTATAGTTTTTTTACATATTTTCTTATAAAATTGCTTTTGATGCCTTCCCCCACAATGCAGTCCAACATATCCTGTGTTCAGTTCTGGGCCCCTCACTGCAAGAAGGACACAGATGCTGGAGCGTGTCCAGAGAAGGGCAGCAAAGCTGGTGAAGGGTCTGGAGCACAAGTCCCGTGAGGAGCAGCTGAGGGAGCTGGGGGTGTTTAGCTTGGAGAAGAGGAGGCTCAGGGGAGACCTGATCCCTCTCTACAACTACCTGAAAGGAGGTTGCAGAGAGGTGGGGGTTGGTCTCTTCTCCGAAATGACAAGCAGTAGGATGAGAGGAAACAGCCTCAAGTGGTGCCAGGGGAGGTTTGGATTGGATATTAGGAAAAATTTCTTTAGTGAAAGGGTTATCCCTTAAGGTATCTAGACACTTCACCTTGGTGTTTTTGTTTCTAGAATTAATAGCAGCTGTGCTCAGGTAATTCATTGCGATCTGAACTGAGTTTGATTGGATCTGTCTTTAAATCATCCAAGGCTGGAGGAAAAGAGAAGAAAAATCTGCATCTACGTCATTCTAATACATTTATTGAACCTGTTACAATCAACTCACTGGTAGAGTCAGTTCATCCAGAAGAGGAATAGACTGATGTTCAAATATATAGGCTCTCAGGATGCAACTTAATACACAAGGAAATAAGATTTCTTGACCCTGGGTATGATACAGTAAAATTCCATTAAGGATCTCTCCCTGTGGTTTCTGCTGAAGCTAGGAAGGGATGCATTCTGGAAAGGCAGTTGGAAAGGTGGCTTTTGTAATTTTTCTTTTTCTGTGGGACGTTCAGTTGTAATACAGTTTTCCAAAACAAGAGAATAGTTAAAGCAAACCTATACATGGATTGGTGTAAATTTCCTGAAAACGTTTCCATTTTGATCAGTTTATTTTTGCATCTCTTGCTCAGTGATAAAGAAGTAAAATGGTGCTTTGGAAAAGTTAACGCTTGGTTGCTGGCTTTTGTCTTTTAGATCTACAGCATGAGTTTGCGCCTTTCTGCTTTCTTTGAGGAACACATAAGTTCCATTTTATCGGATTATAAATCTGCCCTACGCTTTCATAAAAGAAATACAATAAAGAAACGAAGGAAAAAAAGAAGCAGGAGCAGCTCTGTTTCTAGTAGCGTTGGATCCAGGTACGTTGACTGCTGTAGGGAGCTCATGAACTGCTGCCCAAGTTTGACCTACTGTGTTGGATTCAGCCAGGAAA